ATACATCTTGATTGCATGTTTGGTCAATTTCAAATTGAAGAAGTTGGTAGAATTCTTCTATTTCATCCTCACTGGCTTTAGTGGTTGGTGCGTAAATTTGAATAATAGTGGTATTAACTGGGCTTCCCGGAAGGTGCATTGATATTATCCTATCACAGACAGCGTTGTACTTCATGACTGATCTGGATATGTTCTTTTTGACAATGAATGCAACAGCATTCCTCTTCAATTTGTTATTCCCGGCATAGTAAACCATGTGGTTGTCAGATTCAAAATGGCCAATACCAGTCCATTTCAGCGCACTAATGCGTAAGATATTGATGTTTATGCATTCCATTTCATTTTTGACAACTTCCAGTTTTCCAAGATTCATACTTCGTACATTCCATGTTCCGATTTTCAGTGGATGTTTACAGCTGTTTCTCTTCATTTTGAGTTGTGCCCCACCAGCAAATGAAGGTCCCATGGGCTTTTCTCCCATGAGCTTTACTCCATTCTCTTCATCACAGTCAACTCTAGTTTGACGAGGCAGCTCTTCCCTAGTCACACTTTGAGTGTCTTCCAACCTGAGGGGCCATTTTCCGGCACCGTATCTGACAGAGAAACACTGTCAGATGGAGAGTACTCAGCACAGTACGTATAACAAGTACTCAACCAATGTTCCTTTTCCTTCATCTTTCTTTTTTTCTTTTCATCTGGAATGTAGAAATTTTTTATGTTGTTTTAAAGTTTTCTAACAATGTGATATGTGACACATGAAAAATTTTTCAGTAAAAGGATTATTGTTTGTAATGATACTTAGGATATTGAAATTTATAAAGAATTTTTGAATACAGATGATTAATATTTATGTCAGAAGTCATAACTTTATTAACCTTAGAGTAACATCACAAGATTTGTGTTCTTTGATATAGGTATGTTCTGCTGAAAGAAAGAAACATGCTCCTAACTCTAGAACAGGAGGCCAAGCGACAGCGATTACCAATGCCGAGTCCAGAGAGGTTAGAAAAGGTAAGGCTCGTGACAGGCTGAAAACTGTTATGTGGATATAAATTAAGAAGAGCAAATGGTTCTTGAATCTGTTGTCAAGTAGATTTATTTCTTTCCTGTTTCTATTTCATTTTTAGGCTGATTTGATCACTTTTAAAACAATAGCTTTATTCCAGTAAAATGATCATACCATAAAATTCTCTGGTTTAAAATGTGGAATTCATTGATTTTTAGTATATTTACAGAGCTCTAACCTACTTTCATTAGGGAGTGTAGAAGCTCTGTAAGCAAAACACTGGACTATAAGCCACAAGGTCGGGAGCAGCCGTGAAGTCAAATGACGTATAGTGTTAGGCAAATATGGTGCATGAGACCTTTTTAAGATGTTCAGGAGCAAAGTAATCAATTTGAGGACTAAAGTACACCTGACCCAAGCCATGGTATTTTCAGTAGCCTAATGTGGTGCTGTGGGTTAATACGCCAGACTGCAAAGCCATTTGAACTACAAGGTTGGCGGTTCATGTTCACCAGCTGCTTTTTGGAAACCCTATACAGGGTCGCTATGGGTCAGAATTGACTCAATGGTACTTAACAACAACAACAACAACTTTGATAGCGTAGTAGTTACGAATCGGGCTGCTAATCCCACGGTCAGCAATTCGAAACTACAGCTGTTCCATGGGAGAAAGAGGAGGCTTTCTGCTCCCATAAAGATTTATAGCCTTGGAAACCCTGTACAGGGTCGCTATGAGTTGGAACCGATTCCACGGCACATAACAACAACAATATGCATATAAGGAGCTCTGGTAGTGTAGTGGTTACGAATTGGGCTGCGAACCCTAAGGTCAGCAGTTTGAAACTACCAGCCGCTCTGCAGGAGAAAGATGAGGCTTTCTGTTTCTGTAAAGATTTACAGCCTCGGAAACCCTGTACAGGGTCACTATAGGTCGGAACTGACTCACTGCCGCTTAACAAACACAAATATGCATATGAAAGTTGGACAGTGAATAAGGAAGATTGTAGAATAATTGATTCATATGTTGGGGAAGATTATTAAAAGTATCATAGACTGCTAGAAGAACAAACAAATCTGTTTAAGATTAAGTCCAGCCAGAATGCTCCTGAGAAGCCACGGTGACCAGACTTCATCCCTTATACTTGGGTCATAGAATCAGGAGGGACCAGTCCCTGGAGAAGGGTGTCATGTTTGGTAAAGTGGAGGGTTCAGTAAAAAAGAGGAAGACACCTAAGGAGAAGGATTGGCATAGTGGTGGCAGCAGTGGGATCACGTGTAATTACAATTGTGAGGTTGACACAGAACCTGGCAGAGTTTCATTCTATTGTGCTTGAGGTTGTTAAGCAACGGGACCAACTTGACAGTATCTAAAAATAGCAACAACAAGGCATTTTGCTTATTGACTTTCTGGAGGTCCAGAGAACGGTAACATCTACTTATTATGAGAAAGTTAGGCGGAATTTTAGCTGAAAAATGCCTGGGAATGCTGCACCAGAGAGTCCCCCTCCATCACGACAATAGTCCTGCTCATTCCCTTGTCAAACAAGGGAATTTTTGCTAGTTGTTTTTTTTTAAGTTTTTATTGTGAATTGAGTAAAAGTTTACAGGGTATATCATCAGTTTTACATTCAACAAATCATGTTTTATTTCATTGCAACGATTGCAATCCCCTCCATGTACCATCAATTAACAGTATTTACCTCTCCTCCCCCTTTTTTGTTTTGATATATACATACCACACAGAAAATGTATATTCATTTAAATGTCCACAGTGCCCATTTTGCAAGCCATCCTCCTCCCCACAGGCACACAACCTCTCTCACTCCAGGGGTCTAGAGTCCTCAGCTGTTCTTTCTATCTGTGCTGTCACCTATGCTTCCATCTCTGCTGTGTCTGCTTTTCTGGTTAGGAGCCCATGTTCCACTCATGTACTCCCCTCTTTTAGTTTCACACCTTCTGCATTTGCAGTTGTGATTATCACAATTAGTCCTGATAACAATTACAGTTGAGCTATAAAATCCTATCTCCATCATCCACATTCCCTTTCACCAGACCCATCCACAAAAGAGGAAAACTATTCGGTTCCCCTCATTCTGAAACTGAGCACACTCATGAAAGCTTCTAAGCCAGCCACTTTGTTCCTTTATAGCCCCATTTTTTGATAGCGTATGTCTAAGCTGCTTGTCTCTTATCAACCCAGTGTGCTGAGGAGCTAGAGTTTGGATGGGAAAGCATTAAGCATCTATCTGAGAGTCCAGATAGATTTGGTTCCTTTTTGTTTCTTAATGTTAAAAAATACCTAAAGGGCATCTATTTTTCTTCAGTGAATAATGTGAAATAGACTTCATTGACATGGTGAAATTTCTAGGACCCTTAGTTTATTAGGGATGAACTAAATGGCTGGTATCATTGCTTATAAAAATGTCTCACTCATAGTGACCCTGTATAGGGTTTCTAAGACTGTAAATCTTTGTGGGAGCAGAAAGTTTCATCTTTCGAACTGTCAGCCTAGTAGTTAGCAGTCCAGTGCTTATCATACAGCTCTACTAAAGGTTCCATAAATACACAATAAAGCCACTTCCTTTGAAATTATTCCCACTCATAGGGACTCCACGTAGGGTTTCCAAGATGGTAAATCTTTACAGGAGCAGAAAGCCTTCTCTTTCTCCTGCTGAGAGACTCATGGATTCTAATTGCTGACCCAATGTGGAACCCACTACACCATCTGGGCTCCTTAAATACATAACATTTGTTTTGTTAAGTGCTGTTGAGTCGGTTCTGATTCAGAGTAACCCTATATAGGGTTTCTGAGGAGCATCTGATATAGGTTGAACCACCAACCTAGAGGTTAACATAGTCCAATTGCTTATCCTACAGTGCCATACCAGTACTACAAGTACACAGTGTTGTTGTTGTTAAGTGCCATCAAATTGCTTCTGACTCATAGTGACCCTGTAAAGGGTTTCCAAGGAGAAGATAGTAGGTTTGAACCGCTGACCTTTCAGCTCATATTGACCTTCCAGTGTAGTGCTTATCCTACTGTGCCACACCAGGACTCATAGAAATCTTAAAAGGAAAATGAAAATAAATAGAAGTTTTAATGCTATCTTCTTGCATCTTGATGAAACTTTGGAGATAACTCTAATGTCATGATATATTGGTATTTCTGTCCCTTTAATAGCAGCAAGTACCAAACAGTCCATAATATCTCTTATCTGTATGTTAAAGACCCAGTGATTCACTGAGGCTGAAACATGGTTTTTAATATAGCAAAAGTAACAAGCTGCTACCACTTCTTAATAATTCATTGAGTTTTGAAATAACAGAAGTTAAATTAAATCTTCAAAAGAAATCTCTGTAAGTGAGTCTCACTGCATTCAAAACTAATATATAAAAGCCTGAGCTAAAACAATTTTTCATTTTAATGAAACTATAAACTTTTTTAAATTTGCAGAATGTGGTATTACAGACAGCCATGTGTGTACACTTGAACCAGAAAGATGTTCAAGAAACATTTGACAGAATGCCCCTTTGACAAAAATACTCACCGTAACTTTTCTGAAGTATAATTTCTTGTATGTTCTGTTTCTTTAAAATTTAGTTAATTGTTGAAATTTTGTCTTTGTCTTTTCAGGTGGTAGATTCCATGGATGCCTTAGATAAAGTTGTCCAGGAAAGAGAAGATGCATTAAGACTTCTTCAGACTGGTCAAGAAAATGCTAGACCGGGTGCTTGGAGAAGAGACCTCTTTGGAAGACTCATCTGGTATGTTGATGACATTGTGGCTTTTTTGAAAGTAGGAATCTCCTACCTTATTCTTCCGCCCAATATCTTTGAAGAAAACTCTTACTTTATGAGATAACTTTGAGACATACATGATATAAGCAGAGGTCCTTAAAACCCTTTGGAACATGAGGATATGAATGAAGGTAGGGTAGCCTTATCTAGTAAAAACAGTACCAGGTCAAACATGCAATCCCATGATTCAGTTATCTCTGTTCATTTTAGCAGTGATTCTTAATACTATATGGATCATAAGACCTTTTGAGGATTTCATAAATGTTACATTTCCATGAAATTAATTGCAGAACACATACTTGTCTGTTTTACCTGTTAGGAACCTAGGACTATTCAAAATGAAGTTCTAAAAGAATAAAGGCTGATGAACCAGTCTTAGTATGCTCCCATTGCCAACAGGATAAGCTGTAGGCCAAATCATGGAAGAGTTTACTTTGTTCCCCAGTCGTCTTCATTTATTGTTGGACATTTCATAATCTCTTCTCTTTCCTATGATCAGTCCCATAGTCCTGTCAGACATGGGGAAAGGATCTGAGGGTAAACATTATGTCCTGAGGAATAAATAATTGAAATGGTTCCGTTTAGTCTCTTTCTTCTGGGGCCGTTTATTTACATTTGAGTTAAGCAACTAAAATGAAGCATTATTAGTAGAATTTTAAATAACAGTCAACAAAAGGCAGAAGGCATTTTGGGGAGCTCTTTGTATCCTTGAAATTATACCACATAATAGCAGCATATTCAGCATAGTGTCTTTTAATGAAATTTTTGGTGATGGGCCTTTTTGGAAGCTAATTTATGGAAGTAACTGTACTTCCTAGTACAAAAAGACAAATTGCCAGAAATATCTCACCCAAAGTTTTATCTATTTTTTTCTTGGTATTCATATTGTTGTTAAGTGCCATTGAGTTGGTTCCAACTCATAGCGACCCTGTATACAGTTTCTGAGGAGCGGCTGGTGAGCTTGAACCGCTGACATCCAATAGGAAAAAATGGAGGTAGAGGAAAGAATCTGTATTCCTAGGAAAGTCTCTAGGAGTGATATTCTCTTTAAAAGGTTTTTAAAACTTTTCCTTTTTAACATGCAATCCCATGATTCAGTTATCTTTGTTAGTTTTAGCAGTTACAAAGTAAAACTTTGGGTGAGATGAAATGTAAAATTTCATGGAAATGTTGGCAAGGAAAAGACAAGCTTTTCCAGAGCTAAACAAAAGAGTGAGCATAGCACTTATATCATCTTTCCAAAAAAGCTTATTAAATTACATTAAAATTGTTGTGCTGCTTTTTTTTAATGCATTATTATGTTAAATGTTAAGTATTTACAATAGCTTCAAATGTAGAGCTTCTTAAAAATATCACATCCATACTTTTTCTTTCAAAAAGAACATGGTGACAATAATGTCAGAAATTGGTTTCATGTTTTTATGTATATGTGTGTGTATGTGTGTATATATATATATAATGTATGTGTGTGTGTGTGTGTGTATATATACACACACACACACACACACACACACACATATCTATCTGGTGATGGTGATGTGCTGTGGAGGTGGTAACCACTCAGCGAGCCAGCATAGGGTTTCTGAGGCTGTAAATCTTTGTTGGAGCAGAAAGCCTCATCTTTCCCCTGCGAAAAGCTGGTAGTTTCAAACTTCTGACCTTGTGGTTAGCAGCCCGACTCATAACCACTACACTACCAGAGCTCCCTATGTGTGTGTGTGTATAAATATATATATGAAAAATACAAATATATGTGTGTATATATACATACATATGCATATAAACATTTTTTAAGAGTAATCTGAAGTCAAGATTAGAAAATATAACCATCTGTGCAATTTTGTGCTAGGTTCATGATCCTCTACAACATTACCTTTATTTTTTGCTAAGTTTAGATTATTTCTTAATTTAAACCTAGGAAAAACAAAAAACTATGAAAATCAAACTGCATTGCATTTTATTGAAAACATAATTTGTCCAAAGAAGCTTAAAACTGTTTGTAAAAAGTGAAACTGTATCTAGTGTTTTCTATAAAGGTGCTGAGATTTTGTTTTCTTGGCAGGCACAAGTTCAAGCAGTGGCCTTTACCTTGGTACCTAAATAAACGATACAATAGGAAACGATTCTTTGCAATGCCTTATGTGGAACGTTTTGTCAGGTGAGTACAGTGACCCTTTCTAATGAAGTATAGCAGCTCTACAACAGATGACATGTGTTAAGCTTTCTTTAAAATGTAGTTTCTGTGATTACATAAATAATACATGATTATTGTGGGGAGAAATTTTAAATCAAGTAATGTCGAGAGCCTGCTCCGACACTCTTATTTGGGGGTCCTAGAGGGAGGTATGACATTGGCGAAGAATGAAGCTCACAGAATTGATGGGTCTTGTTAGATGGTGAATCTTCTCCATTTATTTCAAATTCTCAAACAGCTTTTATACTACTTTATACCATCAATTTATTAATCATTCTTTTCAAAGTAGTAGTTTAAATCATACATATTAATCATTTCAATATAGAGCATCAAGAATATAAAAATTTTCCTTGTTCCCCTTTACATAGTTAGACAGTATATAATTTCTGTAAGCAAACCTCATTGCTCTAAAAATGTCACGTTAAACTTAAAACATAATTCTAAATCTTAACTCCTATTTCTGCCTTCACCTATTATTTTCTATAGATTTATTAATCACAACTGGTACCTAAACATTATTTGCTATGGTAACTGACAACACAGTTGTTTCTCATGATTGATTAAACAAGAAAAACAAGAAGCATAAAAAAGTTTTGTAGCCAAGAAGAAACGGAACTTCCTTATACCAAAAACTTCTCTATACAAAGCATCTAGTTAAATTTCTGCTTATGATCTAATACTATTCCCTTAGCCCTCAATTGCATTCTTGCTAATTTTCTAAAGGTCTTAATACCCCTGACCGAAACTACACAGAATGTTGAATGTAATCTTAAACCTGAACTGGCAAAAACTTTAGCTGGTTTTTCCTAATGGTGAAACTTATTGTTAGTGTGAGAAGCATTCTTTAGGACTACGCATGATTGAATATGGTGTGAATGTGCAAGTTTCAAATCTCTAATATAGTTCTAAGATTCTACTGAAAACTTTTATTATAAAATCAAGAAAATTAAAAATAAGCTGATTAAAACAAAGAGACAGAGACAGCAGAGTCCCCACATGAGATCCCTCCTGGGGCCTTGTGTTACAAGGGGGGACCCATTGTGGCCCTGCTTATTTAGGGTCCTCCGCCGCTCTGCCCTTTGGTGTCATGGCCTCTGCCAAAGTAAAAAAAGAAAATTGATGTTATATGTAATCCCACCATCCAGAAAAAGCTGCTGTTAACTTCTATTGTTGTTGTGTTGTGAAGTGCTGTTGAGTTGGTTCCAACCCATAGCGACCCTGTATAGGGTTTCTGAGGAGCAGCTGGTGAGCTTGAATCGCCGACCTTGCAATTCAAACAGCTTTGCAGTCTGGCGCATTAACCCACAGCGCATACATATATATTGTTGTTGTTTAGTGCTATTGAATTGGTTCCTATATAGGGTTTCCGAGGAGCAGATGGGTGGGTTTGAACTGCCAGCCTGTAGTTTGCAGTCCAGTGTTGATTCTATAGCCACACTAGAAGTCCTTATGTTAAGTACCGTAGAGTCAAGTCTGATTCATAGTGACCCTGTATAGGGTTTCCAAGGAGTGACTGGTGAGTTTGAACCACTAACCTTGCAGTTCAAACCGACCTTGCAGCCCAGTACTTATCCTACAGTGCCACATGAGGAATCCATATACATACACACACATATGTACATCCTTTCAAAAATTTTTTCCTTCTATGATAGATAACTATCTGGATAGTGAAGTTCTACTATAATGGTCCATATAATTGCATAAAGTGTGAGCTTATGTTATTGAAATATTCATGACACGGGGAACTAAGGAGAGAAACCTGTTGAAATACAGCTGAATTTATGTTATCCTTAGTGTATTATTGCACTTTAGTGCATTTCACACAAAACATTGAATATACTGTTTTTGAATTAGCTTTCCTTTGATCATTCAACCCTGAATATTTGTAAGTAAATTGTCATTTTTCCCCTTCCCTTCCCATATTGGCCTCACTCTTTCTTGCAAGTGTCTTCTGTAGCATTTTCTTTTTTTTGTCCTTTTAAAAGTACTTACTCATTTTTTAAATGTTTTGTTGTGAATTATGTGATAGTTTACATGGGAGAACATTAGCTTTACATTCATTCATCCCATCGCATATCACTTCATTGCCATGGTTACAGTCCCTTCAATGCATCATCAGCCAACCAAAGGGTATATACCCTGCAAGCCTGCCCCGATTGGTTGTCAGCACACAGCCCCTCTCCCTATCTGTGTCCGAAGTCCCCAACTGCTCCATCTTTGGCTTCACTGTTTCTCTGGGTAGGGTCCTGCTCTCCACTGTTCTCCCTTGATGGTCCCAGGGACCTCCTCTCTTAGACTGCAAAGTTAATCACTCCCCTCCTTTTGTAGGATCATTTTTAATGCATGCATTTAGTCCTTTTCTGTGTGGTGGTAACAGAAACATTTTATCAGCCCTCCCTAGATGGGTATGCTGTTGTTGTTATGTGCCGTGGAGTCGCTTTCAAATCATAGTGACCCTGTACAGGGTTTCCGAGACTATAAATCTTTATGGGAGCAGAAAGCCTCATCTTTCTCCCGTGCAATGGCTGGTAGTTTTGAACTGCCGACCTTGAAGTTAGCAGCCCGATTCGTAACCACTGCTCAACCAGACAGAGCTCATTCATGATTTCTTTGCATACTTCCACTGGTATCAGCAATGCTTTGTGTGTCTTACCTCCTTTTCAAAAGGATTTAATAGTTACTTTGATTTATTATAGCCTGTGGTGCATCTTCCTCCACTCATCTGTCAGTTTGTTGTATTGTGGTGGCTTGTGTGTTGCTGTTATGCTAGAAGCTATACCACTGGGTATCTTAAATACCATCAGGTTATCCATAGTGGACAGATTTCAGCGGAGCTTCCAGACTAAGGAAAAAGAAGACATAGATGACTTTTGAATGTTTAGCCACTGAACATGATGAATAGTACTAGAATATTGTTAGATTTAGTATCAGAAAATAAGCCCCTCAGGTTGTTAGGCACTCAAAATACACCTTTAAGGAAGAACAGCCTTCTTAAAAGAGTTGATCATAATGACATGAATGGAGCAAAACTTAAAAGGATCATCATTTGCTGATGAGGCATTAACTCAAAGTGGTAAGAAACAGCTGTAAACATCCATTAATAATCTGAACATGAAACGTATGGAGCGTGAACCTAGGAAAATTGTCAAAAATGAAATTAAATGCATCAAGATTGATAGGGTAAATGAGGGCTGTTGAAATTAGGGTATTACAAAGGATGTCAAAGACCTAGTGGATTCAAGACAGTTGTGTGTCAAGTTGGTTCTGACTCAGCAACCTGTGTAGGGTTTCTGAGAGCAGCTGATGGGTGGATTACCAGTCCCGTGTTTATCCCTACAGTGCCACACCTTCCAGAATAATGTAGTAGAAAGCTTTAGTCCAATCAGAATTGAACTCAAGGCCTAGTTTTCAGGTTTATCTCTTGATTTGGGTAAGTTTACAGTGATTATTATTCAAGTTTAACAATATATTTAGCACTCCAAGCAGAAAGATTGACATAGATTATGGCTTTGAAGAATTGATTTGGGGATATTTTATTGGTGTTGTATAACAGGGAAAGAGTTGTATAAATTGTTATGCTTTTTTTAAATTCTAGGTTGAGAGTTGAGAAATATGCCCGCATTCAATCAAGGAAGAAAAGTTTAATGAAAAAGAAAGAAAAATTTCTTCAGGAGAAGTTTCCACATCTTTCTGAAGCCCAGAAGTCAAGTCTTGCTTAAGATGCCTGAACTCTTAGCGTTTTGTTTTAGTCTACACACTTAAGTAAATATATGTTACGTGGTTTATAAAGAGTTTTTTTTTCAGTAAGCAACTGTGTTGTCATTTTTTATAAGTGTTGATATGACATGCATATTTTGAAGTGGACACATATCTACCAAATATAACCTGCTGAGTGAAAGTGATGTCTGTCATCTAATGTAACAAAGGCAATAAAGTGGGTTTTTTTAATTTTTAATAGGGTACGAAGGGTACTGTTTATATCACTCAATGATAAATGAACTTACTACTTGAAACTAGGTAGTAATAACAGACAACAACATAAAAATATTTCTGGAATGGCTAGTAATTTTTATTTAATTTTGTAAGCCTGAGATAAAAAGCATAGGCAGTTTAAGTTTTTCTAGTCAATAAAAAGCAATTCTACCAATCCACTTATAATTAATATACTAAACAGAGTTGGAAAGCATTTTACTGAAAGCAAAACATTTAGAGAAAATAGATATTTATACAAAATTATAAAATGCTTGTAATAAGAATAAGTGCATCTCAAGGAAAGCACAAACTCATTTTAATTTATAGAGCAAGTTAAAGCCTTAAAAAATTTAAGTGGAAATTGAAATATGCAAAAATGTATAAACTTTCTACAAAAGATGGTCATTCTTTTCCTGAGTTTACTAAAGCTATGAAACGTAAGGTGACACAGGAAGGTAGAGGTTTGGAAACTTCAGGGGCATTTCCTTTCTACACACTGCTTCCCTCCTTCTTCATACTCTTGTTTGGAAATCCACATTTGTTGAAAGGTACCCTGTAAAAGAAAAGTTATGTATGTAACTATGTCTTATTAAGAAATATTTTTTTCATTTAATGTCTTTATTTTCACCATTTATAAAGGAAGATCTCTGAAGAACTCTTAAACAAAACCCTCTCTCTGCAAAGTAATAGTCCATTATTATTCCATAATACCTTCTACCTTCCTCCAGAGCACTCAAAAGTACTATTTATTGCCTTCAAGGTTAGAAAGAATACTAAATCCTTCTATGCCTGTTACACTATCATGAGGATTTAGGAATGGCTAACAAGGAAAGTCTAAGGGATTAGCTGTGATGGTTTGGTGCCAACCTAAGGAAACAACAGGAATTAGTGGAAGCAGGAACCCTAATACAAAATTGAAAAGATACTCTAAGCTCTAGCACTGGATAGTAACATTTAGAACTCAAAAGTTTTCATCAGAATTTGGAGATGGGGTTTTGCAAATATACAGGCACTATATATCACATACAGAGTCCTGGTCCTGGTGTGGTGCTGCGTGTTAATGAACTGGACCACAAGGTCAGAGTTCAAGCTCATCAGCCACTCCTTGGAAACCCTATGTTGTTGTTGTTGTTGTTAAGTGCCATCGAGTCGGGTCCGACCCATAGCGACCCTGTACAGGGTTTCCAAGGGTGTAAATCTTTACGGGAGTAGA